ATCCCGCTTTTTAATATTTTGATTGCCAAAAAGTTTTCTAATATTGAAATTGCTTAAAATTTATATTTGAAAGAGATCATTCATAACAATCAATATGTCCAACCTATCGTTCTTTAATTCGAAGGCGTGCTATTTTGTATCATGTAAGCTTAGGAAAATTCTATATTATTGCGCGCCTTCTAATGCTGCACTTTTACTTGTATTTGGCTTTGCTATTCTCGTGCTATTCCTAATAAAAGTTGGGTGTAATTGCATTGTTAATAATTATTGCAATATTTTATTTTTCTTAATCTAATTAGTAACTATAAATCGTAAAAGTTTTGATTTATAATTTTATTATTTGGCAGTGATTTAAAGGTAGTTGGCCTTACTATAAGTACTAGATTAGGTATGATCATATTGATTATCAAATTACTTGCCATCTCCCTAATTCTCTGCCTAAAATACTGAGATGTGCATGGATTTGAATGAACCGAGCATGTTCTGTCAGAATGAAGACCTTTGAGGTGCAGCCAGAAGACAAGCCTTATTACTAATGCATAGTTTTCAAACCATGCTTAGAGCAAATTTTCAAATCGTCTACATCTGTTGAAGTTCACAACAGCAAATCAAGAAACTGCCAATTAGAGTTAGAAATTTCAATGATTTTAGGTTTTCATGCTATATTTTGAGTCTTGAAATTTAAAAGCAACGAAAGAAGAGATTAATTGTAAATTTAATGTTAAAAAAGGTTGCAGTTCGTGAAGGATTTCCAGTAGTTTTTGTACATAGGTTCATACTGAAACATGTCTCAGCAGCGGAAAATATTTTTAATTAGATTAACGACTAATTGAACAGTATAAACATAATTTTGATTTGCAGTATTTTGTGCAGTGGGTTCGCCTAATCGCTTCATCTTATGGAACTAGACCTTACCTATTCTCTGGTTTAGTGGCTAGCATGTAGTTACTAAGTTCACAAATATAATACTCAAAAATATTCATTGAAAAAAGTGAAGATGACAGGCAAACTTTGGAAAAAGGTGTGCTAAACAGTTTACCTGTTCAAGCAATTGTGAATCCTTATCAGCTGGCTTGGTTTTCACAGCAAACTGGCGAGCTATTTCACCTAAAAATTCAAAATGTTTTGATAAAAAGCAAATTATTATAAATTCTAATAAGCATTTGAGTGATCAGCAAAGAAAAAATAGTCCAAATTTTTTCTACTTTCATGAACGGGTAAGTCAAATCAGGCGAG